ATTAACCCTGTCATCTCAGTGTGAGGACATGACAGATTAACCCTGTCATCTGAGGTGAGGACATGACAGATTAACCCTGTCATCTGAGGTGAGGACATGACAGATTAACCCTGTCATCTGAGGTGAGGACATGACAGATTAACCCTGTCATCTGAGGGTGAGGACATGATGACAGATTAACCCTGTCATCTGAGGATGAGGACATGACAGATTAACCCTGTCATCTGAGGGTGAGGACATGATGACAGATTAACCCTGTCATCTGAAGGTGAGGACATGACAGATTAACCCTGTCATCTGAGGGTGAGTACATGATGACAGATTAACCCTGTCATCTGAGGGTGAGTACATGATGACAGATTAACCCTGTCATCTGAGGGTGAGTACATGATGACAGATTAACCCTGTCATCTCAGTGTGAGGACATGATGACAGATTAACCCTGTCATCTCAGTGTGAGGACATGACAGATTAACCCTGTCATCTGAGGGTGAGGACATGATGACAGATTAACCCTGTCATCTGAGGGTGAGGACATGACAGATTAACCCTGTCATCTGAGGTGAGGACAAGACAGATTAACCCTGTCATCTGAGGGTGAGGACATGACAGAATAACCCTGTCATCTCAGTGTGAGGACATGATGACAGATTAACACTGTCATCTGAGGGTGAGGACATGATGACAGATTAACCCTGTCATCTGAGGGTGAGGACATGGACAGATTAACCCTGTCATCTGAGGTGAGGACATGACAGATTAACCCTGTCATCTGAGGGTGAGGACATGATGACAGATTAACCCTGTCATCTGAGGGTGAGGACATGACAGATTAACCCTGTCATCTGAGGGTGAGGACATGATGACAGATTAACCCTGTCATCTCAGTGTGAGGACATGACAGATTAACCCTGTCATCTGAGGTGAGGACATGACAGAATAACTCTGTCATCTGAGGGTGAGGACATGATGACAGGATAACCCTGTCATCTGAGGGTGAGGACATGATGACAGATTAACCCTGTCATCTGAGGGTGAGGACATGATGACAGATTAACCCTGTCATCTGAGGGTGAGTACATGGACAGATTAACCCTGTCATCTGAGGGTGAGGACAAGACAGATTAACCCTGTCATCTGAGGGTGAGGACATGATGACAGATTAACCCTGTCATCTGAGGGTGAGGACATGGACAGATTAACCCTGTCATCTGAGGGTGAGGACATGGACAGATTAACCCTGTCATCTGAGGGTGAGGACATGGACAGATTAACCCTGTCATCTGAGGTGAGGACATGACAGATTAACCCTGTCATCTGAGGGTGAGGACATGATGACAGATTAACCCTGTCATCTGAGGGTGAGGACATGACAGATTAACCCTGTCATCTGAGGGTGAGGACATGATGACAGATTAACCCTGTCATCTCAGTGTGAGGACATGACAGATTAACCCTGTCATCTGAGGTGAGGACATGACAGAATAACTCTGTCATCTGAGGGTGAGGACATGATGACAGGATAACCCTGTCATCTGAGGGTGAGGACATGATGACAGATTAACCCTGTCATCTGAGGGTGAGGACATGATGACAGATTAACCCTGTCATCTGAGGGTGAGTACATGACAGATTAACCCTGTCATCTGAGGGTGAGGACATGGACAGATTAACCCTGTCATCTGAGGGTGAGGACATGGACAGATTAACCCTGTCATCTGAGGGTGAGGACATGGACAGATTAACCTTGTCATCTGA